TGTGTGTGTTTGGGGGTGAGGCAGTCATTGGATCTCGAGCTGGCCGTCAGGATTAGATCATGGGCGTGTTGTTTCATTTTCTTCTATAAACGCTTGTGCGTGCAGCTGGTTGAGGCTAGCGTGCTGGGCCGGTCTGTTGGGCTGCGTAGGCCTTTTTAACTTATATATATTTGTTTTTCTCTTTTCTGTTTTTCTTTTTAAACCCAAGCTTTGAACTGAATTTGAATTGGGCCAAATTCATTACATTTTAAATCCTTTGAACACAAAAGGTTTATATAGATCTTAGGAAAAAATTATTGCCAGCACATATGCATATTTAAAAATTCATTTTCATGCAAAGGTTTTTACATGGCTATTAAATAAATCCCAAATTGAATTAAGGGTTTATAAAATAGTCAACTAAATTCCAAAAGAGTCAAAATGCACTGGAATCATGGTATGCATATGCTTTTATGTTCACATCCTAAATTTGAAAATCTTGGGATGTGACAATGTGACATAAGATCGCTCATAATGTTGATCGTGTGGGAGATTTCAATAGAGCGCAACACTAGGATCTCCTGGAATAAATCTTGGATGAAAAACCTAGGATCACTCACGATGTTGAAAAAAGGACTCAACATGTGACATTATGTGAGATTTACTTTTGAACCACTCAAAATTAAAAGAAAAGTTAATATTGAATTATAATAATGAATTCTAACATACGACAAGAAAAACTCAATTGCTAGAGTTTGACCTCGTGAAAGAACTTACGAACTTTAGAATAACAACAACATGCAAATCTAAAACTTTACTCGGGTGTAATAAAACATTATAAAAACTAAGATGGATGAAAGTGTTTTTGCCGACGCAGTGCCTTGAGACCGTACCTTGGGCTCTTGCCTATTTCTAGTTCCATTTTAAGGGTTTGTTGAGTTGTGCCCTCAGCTATACCCTTGCTACCTTGTGTGTGTTTTTCTTCTGCTACTCGTTGTGTTTCTGTGTGTGTTGTAACCTGTATGTGGATGCTTGTAGCTCTGGCGGTTTGCTTTATATATAAAGCGGGGCGAAAGCCTTTTTCTGTAAGTGTTTTTACCTTGGTTGGGAGAAGGAGGAGGAGGAGGAGGCATTGGAGTGTGATATGAAGTGTATGTTTTGCATCATATTTGGCTTCCAGAAATACCGCGCACACGTACCCTCAAGATATACGATCCTTGTCAATAAGCATCTTTGTGCTAAGATTGCGGGCAGGGGTAGGTTGGGAGGCAACTATTACAAAAGGGGGTCAACCATTTGACCTTGTCCCACTATATCACCTGAGCCCTAATATTTTTTC